CACTCGACACAAACTAGGTCATTTCGGGACTAACGTATGTTTTAATTTTATTTCAATAATTCGCTTGCGCGTAGGGGTCTTTAGCAGTTGGAGGAAACCGGAGGACCCGGAGAAAACACACGAGGTTGGACAGGCGACCCTCCGTATACACGTAAAAGATCCGTTGGCAGTTGGAATTCGATATAAAAGTAGGCCATTGCACACTGTATGGCCATTGCCCGCATTCATTAGCCCAGTTCGGAGCAGAACAGTAGGACGTTAAACCCCATTTAATTTTATATTATTTCCAATCGGGTAATGAAGAAGGGCATACATTATGTAGTGTGCTATGAGGGAAACTTTGCCCTAACAGTGGCACCTACAGCCAGCTATTATTTCTACTGTCTATAACGTTCTGTTAACGTTGCGTCATAGCATACTCACTGAGCCACCGTGGTCCCGTTGGTGTATACGTAAAAGAACATTGCCCGGTATTAAATATAAAGTATTAATTATATTACATAAAAGATGGCCCAGTATTATATAATATAATAAAGTATTAAATAACATTACAAGATGGCCCAGTATTAGATATACCGTATTAAATAATACGAGACGGCCCGGTATTAGATATAAAGTATTAAATATATTACAAGATGGCCCGGTATTAGATATAAAGTATTAAATATATTACAAGATGGCCCGGTATTAGATATAAAGTATTAAATATATTACAAGATGGTCCGGTATTAGATATAAAGTATTAAATATATTACAAGATGGTCCGGCATTAGGTATAACGTATTAAATAACATTACAAGATGGCTCGGTATTAGATATACCGTATTAAATAATATATTACGAGACGGCCCGGTATTAGATATAAAGTATTAAATATATTACAAGATGGCCCGGTATTAGATATAAAGTATTAAATATATTACAAGATGGTCCGGTATTAGATATAAAGTATTAAATATATTACAAGATGGTCCGGCATTAGGTATAACGTATTAAATAACATTACAAGATGGCTCGGTATTAGATATACCGTATTAAATAATATATTACGAGACGGCCCGGTATTAGATATAAAGTATTAAATATATTACAAGATGGTCCGGCATTAGGTATAACGTATTAAATATATTACAAGATGGCCCGGTATTAGATATAAAGTATTAAATATGTAACAAGATGGCCCGGTATTAGATATAAAGTATTAAATATATAACAAGATGGCCCGGTATTAGGTATAACGTATCTCCCCCGAAATGACAGTATAAAAAATTCATTTATTATTCTGTTCCTACGAAACGTTTCAATTTGAGCTTTTTATCAATTTGATTAAAACACAGATCCTATTTCGTTTCGTTTTTTATAATTCAAAATTTAGTTTAACTTGTCTGTACTACACTAGAATTTGGAATATAACCCGCGTTCTGGATGATGTGAAACATTGGCCAATGAAACGGTCTGTTACGGCAAGTTTTTGACGTGAGGTGCACGGAACTGTGGGTAACATCAACGCTGATTAATCAAATGTCTGACGTCATAGGGTCAAAAGCCGCTCGTAATGTATGACCTCTGAGGCGACCTTCCACTACAACCGGTCAGATCTTCATGTAGTTTAGGCCATCGAAAGTATAAAAAAGCGAAACGAAATATAGATCTGTATTTTAATCAGATTGGTTTTTTGTTGATGTAGTTGATGAAATTGAATGTTATATTCGGGTACAGCTAGATATGCTAGACATCATTAAAATCCCGATTAATTCCAAATTTAGTCGGAGGACCCCTGAGCCCTCTCTGACCAAATACCTTCGTTCTCCATTGTTTCGAATAGGGTGGTATGGACCGTGGTGAAATCTCCGTACAACAATAAGTTATTGATATTTTGCTCCTCAACTTGGTCGCTGACTATATTGACCTTTTTTGTACATATATAAACTGAATATTTTTCAATATTTATGATCTAGTACAGTGATTCTCAACCAGTGTGCCACGACACACAGGTGTGCAGCCAAATCTTCCTGAGTGTGCTGTGAAATTTTGAACGGCACACTAAGAAAATGCGAAAAACCACGTGATCCCAATTGAGAATTGACTGGTGTCTACTGATAAGTTCATAGCTATGTTTTTCTTTATGTAGTCTGAGTCTATGCAATGAAATGATATGAAATGGGGTTTAACGTCCTACTGTTCTGCTCCTAAACTGGGCTAATGAAGACGGGCATACGCCATACGGTGTGCTATGAGGGAAATTTTGCCCGGGCAGCGGCGCTACGGCCTACTCTTATATCGAATTCCAACTGCCAAGGGATCTTTTACGTGCACGCCAATGTGTACATGGGACCTCGATTTTTCGTCCTATCCGAACGACTAGACAGCTGTCCTTGTCAGGCCCTCTGTGTGTTCGGTTATATGCCGACTTGCCATGTTTTTATTTGGCAAAATTCACAAATTTTTTATACATATTTATCCAGGTGTGCCGCTATTTTTTCATGTGTTCCAAGGTGTGCGGTTGCCATAAAAAGGTTGAGAACCACTGATCTAAACAGCGAAACATTGATTCACCGAGTCAGAATCCATATTGAGAAAAAACAAACTTATCGCAAAATATTTGGACTATTTTAAACAAATGAGATTTTAATGAATTTTTTAATTATTAATTAGCTAATTGCTCAGATTGACAGTGAACCAGTAGCGAAAATAGGTTTGTCTCTAGCTTGTCCACCACTAATGGGTTTTTTTTCGGCGTGGTTCCCCATGTTGTCGCTTCCGGTGTCGTCTGAGACAGTTCATCGGGATTCTCCGGCGTGGTTTCACTTTGTCAGTGGTGCAGGACGGAAAGCCTGGCAAGGACAGCTGTCTAGTCGTTTGAATGGAACGAAAAACCGAAGTCCCGTGTATACATTGGCGTGCACGTAAAAGATCCCCTAGCAGCTACAATCCGATGTAAGAGTAGGCTGTCGCGCCGCTGTCCGGGCAAAATTTCCCTCATAGCACACTGTATGATGTATATCCGTCTTCATTAGCCCAGTCGAAGCAAAACAGTAGGACGACCCCATTTCATTTCATTTCATTACTACCGCTGTTACGGATATTTCATCCACAACAAAACGTATTCAAATCCACTAAATATCGCAGGCTGACGATGGCACCGAGAGTTAATTGTGGTCTTGATAAGTTAAGTAATGTCTAATTAATAATTTAGATAAAGGCGTAAAGAAAGGCATGCAATAGGCAGATTTAGCTCTTGCATAATGTATATTTTACGTCCGTTTCCATTGATGGTGATACCGAAGACAAACCATTTCATTATGAAGTAGCTTACATTTTTTGTTCTTATTCTGGTTTAAACATCTGGTTCAATTTCATTTCATTAATTCGCTTGTGCGCAGAGTCTTTAGCATCGGAGAAAACTGGAGGACCCGGAGAAAGGCCATGAGGTTGGACAGGCGACCCTACGCCATTGTCACCTATACAAGTGGGGAACCGATACCATGCCACTTTACTCAGTGCCAGACCTTGCTATTAAACGCACACGCCTTGTCACCTATACAAGTGGCGAACCGATACCACGCCACTTTACTCAATGTCAGACCTTGCTATCAAACGCGCACGCATTAAACTATTCACCCCCATCCCTACAATTTTATAAAAAGAACCATTCATGATAGCCTATATTATGTGTTTTTAGAATGTAGCCTTTTGTAGCTAACTTCTGAAGTAGGCCTGGAAAATGTTTTGAGAGAGAGAGAGGGGGGGGGAGGGAGCGAGAAATGGGGTTTTACGTCCACTCGACACAAACTAGGTCATTTCGTGACTAACATAATATGGTTAAATTTCATTTCAATACTTTACAAGTGGGAGGAAACCGGAGAACCCGGAGAAAACCTACGAGGTTGGACAGGTGACCATACTCCTTGTCACGTACACAACACCAGGGAATAGAAACCCTGCCAGTTGACTCAATGACAGACCTTATGATGCATCCAGAGGCGTAGCCGTGAAATATGTATTGGGGGGACGTCCGCAACCCTAACGCCTAACCCTAACCCTAACCCATTTTTTAAAACCCCTAAAAAATATAAACAAATATAATGAGGCCATGCTGTCTGCCAAGACACCGCGTGCAAAAGCATTATGGTTACGTTGCTGGCTGAGCGGGCGATAAATATTTGGTTTAGGCGGTTATGTTTTTGGGTACCTATAAGTGGCAGAAAAAAAATTAACAAAATATTACTGACAGGCTAACTAGACAAAATTTTATGGAACACGGGTACTTTTCACTTCACACATGTTTCCAGGATGATTATCTCGGTGTTTTATTTTAACAGTATAATCCATATTGGGATATGTACAGGTTTTATACAGACAGAAACTTGACTAATCCTAATATCCTAATAATTGTTGGGCCTACTATGTAAATTTTTTGGGGGGTCCAAGAAAAACAATTGGGGGGTCGGATCCCCCCACCCCATATGTGTGACGCCCATGGATGCATCGCGCACGCGCTAACCATTCGATCATCCCCCCCCCCCCCAAATGTTTTAAAGTTACATAGATGGATTGACTGGATAAACGTCTGAATTCATGAATGTTACAAAGAATACTACAAAAACCACCCCACGTCTAGTCTAACAATTTGACTACATCTAATTTTAGAATAGAAGATATCGAGGGGGCCTTCTACGACCAACCAAATTACGATGTCGTTAAAAATAGGCTGAAGTTGGGCGAATGATTGAAGTCGTGACGTTTGTTGTGATGAGATTCTAAGTTTGTTTTATTAGATAGATGTAAAAACAATATTTAACTAAAGAACCTTAACTCTCCTTCACACGACGATCAATAGGACTGTCGCTACAACACGTGCTTACAGCTCGTTACCCCTACGCGCCAAATATCCGCTTTATTGATTGGTCCAAATGATCAATCAGGCAAGCCAATCAAATGGAGTTATTGCGTTTAGACCAGTGAATATTGAATTTTGATAGTAGGTTGCCTACGTTGGTATATATATATTACTCTTGCAGATAAAAGCACCGTTTCTGGGAAAACTCTTAGACTAACTAAGATTTCAAGTGCCCTGACATCCTCTCCACGGAACAAACTGGAATTTATTAGACTTTAATTTCTCTCTGCAAATATTCATCTGGACTCAAAACTACCGATTGGATTCTGTCCGTGAAAGTTTGTTTTTTTTTTTACAAAAAAAAAAGTTTTTAAAAATGATTCGCTGTTTACAATTTGTGTTTGTTTTCGCCATGTTAGAACTGGCCTTAGCGTGGATGGGGCGATATGAAGAGAAACCCTGGGCTCCTTCCAGACGAAGTTCTTATGTAAGTATTTGTTTGTCTTTTATTAATATAGAAACTCACATAGCAACCGAACATTGTAACATTAATACGCTTCATACCATCTTCAAGCGCCTTATGGAGTGAGAGAAATGGGGTTTAACGTCCACTCGACACAGCTAGGTCATTTCGGGACTAACATATGGTTTAATTTTATTTCAATAGTTCGCTTGCGCATAGGGGTCTTTAGCAGTGGGAGGAAACCGGAGGACCCGGAGTAAACCCACGAGGTTGGACAGGCGACCCTACTCCTTGTCACGTACAACCGGGGATTCGAAACCACGCCAGTCGACAAGCGCCTTATGGATAAGCTGCACTATACAAAAACTCACTATTAAACAACAATTTTCGTACTCGTGTCCTCTACGTGGTGGTATTAGGGATGGGGCTAGGAAGGCGGTGCAGGCTACTTAATTATATATATTGTGACAAAAGTTTTGTACATCGCTACGCTCGACAATTTTCGTACTCGTGTCCTCTGCGTGGTGGTATTAGGGATGGGGCTAGGAAGGCGGTGCAGGCTACTTAATTCTATATATTGTGACAAAAATTGTGTACATCGCTACGCTCGACAATTTTTCTTTTAAGCACCTACGTTTGTTTTTTAATGATTACATTGGCGTGCACGTAAAAGATCCCTTGGCAGTTGGAATTCGATATAAGGGTAAGCCGTAGTGTCGCTGCCCGGGCAAAATTACCCTCATAGCACACTGTAAGGCGTATGCCCGTCTTCATTAGCCCAGTCAGGAGCAGAACAGTAGGAAGTTAAACCTCATTTCATTTCATTCTTTAATGATTATTCAACAATATGAAATGCGCCTTTTATAAAACGTTGATGCAGGACGGAGGGCCTGACAAGGAAAGCTGTCTAGTCATTCGGATGGGACGAAAAACCGAGGTCCCGTGTACTCATTGGCGTGCACGTAAAAGATCCCTTGGCAGTTGGAATTCGATATAAGAGTAGGCCGTAGTGCCGCTGTCCGGGCAAAATTTCCCTCATAGCACACTGTAAGGCGTATGCCCGTCTTCATTAGCCCAGGTTAGGAGCAGAACAGTAGGACGTTAAACCCCATTTCATTTCATTTCATTTTTTATAAAACGTAATATTTCATTCTATTTTTTGTTTGTTTTTTTGTTTGTTTATTTTTTTTATCACAGGTAACTGTATAGAATTACTAATTTGATTTCTAACACCTCACAATAACAAGAACAGGTTTTAGATTTATTTTGTAAAATTACAGAATTTTTGCTGATTTTTCCAAAATGAATTCAATATGATTGAAGCGATAGTTCTTTACGCTGTATTCCTGTTACAGGAAGAGCATACAGATGTTGCCTTGGTCGCAGCCGATTAGGGCGGTAGTTAGCCTTTGTGATGTACTCCTGTACTGCCTGGGTGGCACCCCGGATCCACAATCACAAACAAAATAACGAAATGAAAAGTGGTATCAAGGGTCTTAGAAAACGATAGCATACTCTACCTTGAATACGGCACATGTCACTACTTGTAAGTTTATTAGAACGATAGTTGTTTTTATGTCTGTACTGGTTTAATGGCACTGGATCGACATTCGCAAACAAAACAAGTAAATTACCATCATTAGTTAGACGCTATATTATTACATTGAACATATTAGTTTCATCAATCCGATTTAATATCGATCAACCAGTCTTCCGAAACTATTGTAATTTACCCTGTACGATCTAATATCGATCAACCAGTCTTCAGAGGTATTAGCTATTGTTTACCCTTGGGAGTTCGTAACCTACCCTGTACGCATTGGTCTATTTACACTTGGAATGGGGTTTAACGTCCCAGTTTGTCTGCAGCAACCGGACATACGCCATACAATGTGTTTTGTGATATAATGTGGGCAATCCGATTAAAATACAGATCAATATGTCGTTTCGTTTTTTTTTATACTTTCGATGGCCTCTACTACTTGGAAATCTGACCGGTTGTAGCGATTGTTCGCGTCAGAGGTCATACGAGAGACTTTTGACCTTATGACGTCAGACATTTGATTAACCAATCGCAATTGATGTTACTAGTGTATTACTCACAGTTCCGTGCAAAACACGCCTAAAGCTCGCCGTAACAGAATGTTTCATTGGCTAATCCCTCACATCATCCAGAACTCGTCCATGATATTGTCTCTTCCAGATCCTAGTGTAGTAAAGACAAGTAAAACGAAATTTTGAACTATAAAATGAAACGAAATAGGATCTGTGTTTTAACCATATTGAAATGTGGGCGGATAACTGCGTTCCCGCCCAACCTTCACCGAATTCAAACCACCAAGCTTACTTACGTTCCTGGAAATCCGCTATAAATACGTAATTTAAATCGTAAAACGCCTGTATCTCGGCAATGACACGTTTTGGGTTTGTTTTGTTTGTTTTTTTTAATTTACAAAATCAAATTTTCAAAAACATCCGCCAAACAATACCACAAAACTCGGACCAAAACAAGAACAAACAAAAAAACGAAAACCAGGAAAAAAGACAACCTTTTTTGAACAAACTTCTATAATCTTTAAACCACAAAACGCCAATACAAATACTGGTCTATTTCAAAATAATAAACAGCGATACTATTCGACAAAATGAAGAATAAAACAAGATAAATCATTCCTAGCCATTTCTTTCCGGCGTGGTTTCCCCTTGTTAGTGGTGTAGGATGGATGGCCTGACAAGGACCCGTGTTCGATTCCTGCTTTGGACGAGAAAGTTTATTGTGATTTGTCATAGTGTTTACGTCTTGTCAGTGATGCAGGACGGAGGGCCTGGCAAGGGACAAAGTATAGTCATTCGGGTGGGATAAAAAAAACCCTGAGGTCCCGTGTACACATAGGCGTGCACGTAAAAGATCCCTTGTCAGTTGGAATTCAATATAAGAGTAGGCCTTAGCGCCGCTGTTCAGGCAAAATTTCCCTCATAGCACACTGTATGGCGTACGCCCGTCTCCATTAACCTAGTCGGAGCAAAACAGTAGGACGTTAAACCCCATTCCATTTTTTCTAGCCATCCCCTTTATCACAACTATCTTCTTGTCTTCTAATTTATTTCTTTTTATGGTCGGTATAGTTTTGCTATAATTATTATTGTTCACATTGGGAGACTGCTATATCCTAGATCATGTTCCCCAGGGAGTCATCGACAAAACTTATCGGCCTTCCCGATCAACGTTTAAATTGAAAATAAAACGGTAGAAAGCAGAACTTATAGGAAATCCACTTATTGGCAGACGATAAAATATTGATCAAGATATTTTATGGTTTTACAAGAACCACTTGAAATTGATTCTCTTGCTTCTTCTGGCTTTTGATCGTTAGTTAAAGATTCTCAATTTTACCGATAACCCATTTTCAATAAATTGACCAACAACTTCTTACTGCAAAATGTTTCGAAAAACTATATATTACACAAAGGCACATCATGAATAGTTCTTTTTATAAACTTTTATCGATACATGTTAGCATATTAAACATACATTATGCAAAAGCTAAATCTGCCTATTGCAATTCTTTATTTAGACTTCAGATGTTAAAGAAATTATTAATTAGATCTTTATTTACACGACAAGCTCAAAATCAACTCTGTAGACCCACGGATGGCTTGGATACAGTTTGGATTTAAACAGTCGTTCATTTAAAATTAAATCAATAAAATGACAGACGAAGCTAACGTTTACCGTTAGTCGCTGATGTCACTACCGGAAACTGGTGATGAAAGGCCTGCCAAGCGAGGCTACCATAGCCATTGAGCATGTTACTTGATAATCGAGAATATGTGGGCGGAATTATCGTCTGTCAATCAAACGATCGCCAATTCTCACAGACGGTGCAGACACAATTGATGCCTATTTCTAGTCCAAACTTCCAATAGTGACAATTCCGTTCAGAACAAAGTAATTTGACTGAAATTTTCAACATTTTCTTTTTTTATCATCTATTTTTGAATTATTATAGCAAGAATGGCCGACTCTTTATAAAACTCTTAACTAATGTATCTTTAACTTTTTTGTTAGTTTTATAAATTACGAATAAAATGTTATTAAAACCAGCGCTTCTGAATGAAATGGTTTGTCTGCGATATCACCTTTGGTGGAAACGGACGATAATTCCTACGAACGAACGAGCGAATCAATGAAATGGCGCTTAACGTCTAGTCTCTTTCATCCAGAAAAATATTCTACGAATATTAGTCTAGATGGGTTGTCAACATTTGAGAATAATAGGTCGGTCATTGGCTAGATTATCCAGGCTTTTTACATTGTTATAGTCTAATGGAGGTAACTGATCCTAAAACGAGATGTCGACGCCCATTAAATCAATCTAAGAATTGCCATTTCAGAAAATCCATCTGCATTGCCAGTTCAATATCCAACACTCTTAAAACATTTATTGTAAAATTTCTTTCTTCATGGGCCATATTTATGTTTTTTTAATAAATCCTAATTCGTCGTCGCGATTTATGTTTATTTAAAAAATAATGCATGAATTATGAGATTTATTTCGGGACAGGGCGCCAAATATTACTGAATAATCAACCACAAAAAAAACCCCCCAAAAAAACCCTCCCGGTCACGCATGGGCAATGGAACTTTTCGTCAAATATTGATAACGGTCAAAGACGACTATGAAGTTCTAGGTGACCGAGACTACTTAACGTCTTACTACGTTTCTACGTCAACCGGACTTATTAATTTTGGTATAGGATTGTTGGGCTGGAGAGTTATATTTTTGTGTAGGATGGTTGAGTTCGAGCATTATATTTTGGTATAGGGTTGAGTTCGAGCGTTATATTTTGGTATAGGATGGTTAGATTGAGATAGGACCCATGGATTGACTTTTTTTTTGAAAAACTGATGGTCAACGGTGCTTTATAGAGTATATCGTACCAAACCTCCTGAGACGGCTTTGTTTACCAATTTTTTTTATTTAAATCCTAATTCGTTGTCGCGATTTATGTTTATTTAAAAA